ACAAAAAGAAAAGTTACAGTAACCTCTGTTTCTTTACATGCATGTGCAGTAGTATACCAACCTGGTGAATGACTTTTGGGGCAAGTGGGGCCTGGTTCATAGCGCTTTTGTATGGGTGTTTTTCGACGGCTAAAGTGGCAGTGAAAAATCAACAAATGTTATTACAGAAAAAGAATTACACAATAGGAAGGGTACACAGATCGGATTGGATCGGATGGCGGCTACAGAAAGCCTTCACGCACAGAAAATCATGGGAGCCAAGACAAAGTTTGATATTGACAGAAGCATATATACTAAATTCCGCAAAATTAATATTCTGCACATCATTAAATTACTCATGTTGAAAGAGAAGCAAATACTGCTGAATTCAGCACATTAATGGTATGCATATCATATCATATCATTACTTTCCGTGTCCGAGAATACACAGACAGACAAGACTTGATGAAACAAGCAGAACCCGATACCGCTGCTAGTTTCTTGGAAACTTCAGTGTTTCATGTCGACCAAACATGACGACCTGGAAAAAGACATGCAGCAGCAATATTTTACATTTATTTGTGACTCCAAACAAAACACACCAAACCCAAGATGGACTGTATTATATTTTTGTTACTTAGCCTCGACCTGGAGAACAAAGACGCTGATGCTATATATAGGACGCTCTAATATATGAGCACCATTATCCGTGCAAACTTTCCACCAAAAGATACCGTGCAAACCTGCTCAAATAATACTACTACTTGCATGCATGCAGTACAATACTACGTAGGTGGTGGATTAAAGCCCTGCAATCTGCAACTGCTGCCAGAGTCCCAATGTCTCATTGAGACTGGAAATCTGATCGTTTGCTTGTTGAAGCTCATTCTCCAGTTCTTTGATCCTATTCTCCAGATCAACCATCTTTTTCTTCTCCTTCTCTTCCTTTCTCCTTCGGTTGAGATAGTTGGATACTTGATCCAAGCCAAGTTTCAATTCCTTGGCCAATTCCTTCTTCTCATCCCTACTCAAGTATTCATGAATATGAGCCCCCAGAGCGGCTTTCTGCTCTTCGGTGAATCTTGGTGGGGGCCGCATGTTAATCTCTTCTCTTCCACCTCTCTTCTGATTTGTCTTGAGTACCTCTCTTTATAGAACAAAAAGGCGTTTATCTTTATAATCTGCCTTGTGTCGGTTCTGCTTTTTGGCTTTATTAGAGCACTATTATGTGATGTTGCTAAAATCTGATAGGTTCTTTATGTGATAAAATGTTTTTGTTATTTAATCGTTTTAGAAAATTAGAGCCTATAAAAATTTTAGTATTTTCCCTGCTCTTGCTCGCTCTAATTTTTGATAGTATTCTCTCTATTGAAATTTTTTTGTAACTATCTTTACCATTTCCACAATGGTGAACCTTGAACTAAAATATATCACATGATGCTATGTTTTCCCTTTCTATTAAATGTTATTTTTTTTTAATTAAACAAATTGTTATTTGCTTAACATTGAATGTTTCTTATATTTCCATTCATGTGAATTACAAGCCAACCAAATATCAATTGACAATTTGATTGTGTACAAATTATTCGCTTACTGTATATGGTTAATGGAGTTCACATGTATTCTTAGGCATAATTTTAATTACTATACAATTTTATAGAATTAGATGACTTGGAAAATAATAAATCTCAAGTTGTAGACAAATTTTTAATTTTTTTTTGTAATTTTGAATAAATTGATTTACTATAACAAACATTTAGTTGGTCCAAAATCCACGAACTAACATCTTGTAATTCTAAGCTAATATTATTGTACTCCATAAATAAAGGTCCTATCTCTATCACTGATTAGAGCATGTTAATTTTTTTACTATTTTAAGAATTAAACACAAGGACATAAAAATCGATTTAGAGTGGTAGCTAGTGAGTGTTGAAAATCGTGCAGAAACTTTTATCTGGAACTTGCAAAGACTTTAAAATTCTTGTATTACATATTCTTGTGTTTTTTTAATTTTTTTTGTGTTGCTTTTGGTTTTATCACATAATATCATTTAGAGTGGTTGTCGTACATGTTACGTTTAGTTTGAGATGGGTTTAAAATTTGATCCCACTGGAGTAACAATTATGTGCCAGGAATGTTCTCTTTGGTAAAATATCTTTTTCCTAAAAGAATTGCTTTCTGCAGGTAGTAAAACTCTTCTTAATCAAGTGATTAATTACTCTAAAGGAGATGTCTAAAATAATCGTATAACACAGCACATTACCATTTGCATAAAAGTTAATGCGGTCTAGTTATTGAAATCTGTGCCACGAATTCCATTGTGTCAAGATGACTTATATTAATACAATAATCAGTTCACTAATAGCATGAAGGGGCATGCATAGCTTCTCATAACCACAATGAATGAATGTTTGGATTACATTTTTCTGGATTTTTTGTAAAAAAATTACTGTAGCAATTTGATATTTGTGAGATAAAAAGGTGATTGAAAAATGTGTTCACAGAAAATTGCTATCCAAACAAATTAATCAGTCCAACGTATTTAGTCTCACAAGCAAAGATTCTCCTACAACGTGTACAGAGACTTAATTGTTGACTTTATTTTTTCAAGACGACAATTGTAGTATATCCTAATCTATCCTACACTAGGGGGAAGGGGTGGATCTAAGGAGGTCCAGGGGTAATTCGGAGGGGACTGAACCATCACCGGACCAAACGGTGCACTATACACCCGCCTGGATTTTTTAAAACAAATTCACATATTAATGTGGGAATTGATGGAAGGCAAGATTTGAACCCTTACCTCACACTTTGGACTGGTGGTTGACTGAGTAAAGCTAAAAAAGCATTATTTCCTAGTAGGTGGAAAAGCAATAGCGCTTCATTTTTAGTTTTATAAATATGAGCTCAAGACATTAACATATTTAGGATTTCACATGACAATTCGTAGCAATACGTGTGTTCAAGAGAATTTTCCCAACATTCCGCCTACTAATGAGTGGGAATACCTCACATGGACATGACTTACCTTTTGGAAGAAAAGATAGTGAAAGTAAGATGGAAAATCAGTGGGGAGAAAAGATAGTGTGAAAGTAAGACGACAAGTGGGAGGCTAGGGTAATAACTGCTTTTATAGCAATTTGAAATCGTTACATGACAGGTAATTACTTGCATAATTACTGATTGGAAGTATCAAGGAAGTATCAATTGTGGGTGTGAAGATGACTCTTTGCCGGCTACACTCATAGAGGACATTAGACAGCTTAGGAATACGAAATTCTACATTTTTCTATTATCACTCTAGTATGATAGGCATAGTACACTATCACACTTCAATTAATTCCAGTAACAAAAGTTTTGTAGAACTACTAACTATATACTTGACACTACAAGAAATATATTTTTCAGTGACAAAAATTTATGTGACAACAAAAATCTTGTCACAGATAACCTAATTCAGTGACGACATTAGGTGTCATCACAGATGAGTACAGCACAAGCATAATCAGTGACAACATTGGAAGTTGTCATTCTCAACTCGTCACGAAATAGTTGGCGCTCATCTCATTTGATGCCGCGGGAAATGATTTTATGACAACTCAAGTAAAGTCGTCACAAACGCTCTCTCTATAGTGACAACATAACTTGTTGTCATTGAAAGTCTACCCGGTTCCAATTTTGTGACAACTTTTTGCATCACTGTATACTACAGTATTTTCATCAACTTTCACTAATTCTACTATGACACCCTAATTTTATTTTTTAGCCCCCAATTCTTTTATATTAGCAAAAGCACCGAAGATATGACACCCTAATTTTATAATTTAGCCCCTATTCATTATGTATTAACAAAATGCAAATGATATAATAACAAACTATTTTTAGATATTTGTAATTTTTGCTAAGTTGACATAATAGACATGTCTGAGCATAAAATTTTTTTCATGAATTGTTTATTATTACTTATAACAACCCCCAAAAATCAATAACTGAAATAATTTGAAAAAGTGTAATTGAATATAATTTGTAGTCTAATGTTAGCATTGTGAAATATTAGTATAATGTGTAATACATCATAAGTAATAATTATTTTCATATGGAATGGGTATATATGAAATTAAAATTATTCAGTAAAATATCTGTCGTGCAATAAGATTGAGAGTTGTAACACATTTAACAGAATATTTGATTACATGTTTCTTTTAATTTATTATAAAAACTAAGTAATAGACAAAGAGTAGGATAAGCATGAGTAAGAAGTGTTATACTGTATATAAGCAATTCTATAGTATTTTCATCAAATTTCACTAATTCTACTATGGCACCCTAATTTTATTATTTAGCCCCCAATTCTTTTATATGAGCAAAAGCACAGAAGATATGACACCCTAATTTTATAATTTAGCCCCTATTCATTACGTATTAGCAAAATGCAAATGATATAATAACAAACTAGTTTTAGATATTTGTAATTTTTGCTAAGTTGACATAATAGACATGTTTGAGCATAAAATTTTTTTGATGAATTGTTTATTATTACTTATAACAACCCCCAAAAATCAATAACTGAAATAATTTGAAAAAGTGTAATTGAATATAATTTGTAGTCTAATGTTAGCACTGTGAAAGATTAGTATAACGTGTAATACATCATAAGTAATAATTATTTTCATATGGAATGGGTATATACGAAATTAAAATTATTCAGTAAAATATCTGTCGTGCAATAAGATTGAGAGTTGTAACACATTTAACAGAATATTTGATTACATGTTTCTTTTAATTTATTATAAAAACTAAGTAATAGACAAAGAGTAGGATAAGCATGAGTAAGAAGTGATATACTGTATATAAGCAATTCTATGCATGTTAAATTTTTGAAACATGTTTTATTGTGTAAGTTTTATTGTAAGGTAATTTCTTAAATAATTTGTATATTGAGTTATCCAAACCCAAAAAGATGTATATAGACACAAACAAGCACACATATATATATCAAATTTAGCCAAATGATGTTTCAAATGCACGAGTATTAAAGGAAATCTTGTTTCCTTGTAGAAGTATGAATCTTTGCGGACCTTTCTAGGCTATCTGATTACTAACCATATTTCGGTATTTTTTCTTCTTGCATATTCTATGAGATTATTGTTATTGTTAAACATATGAAGTCTTAATTATATTAACTTTGCAAAATAATGCAGGGACAAATCTAGAATTACATTGTCAATAAAGCAACTTGAGGAAGATCCACTCCTGGAAACTCTGGAAAAAGTAATGCCTCAGGTACATGTGAGATGGTCTGTAACTTTTGTTGTGCATATCTGTGTTTATCTACATTATTCTTTTTGCATAGTTTGGCCATTCATTTGCGAATTTACACAGGATGCATCATCAAGTCCTGATTACTCAGAAAATAGCTATGAAATTGAGCCTCTTCCTGGCCTGGAGATAATATTTCAAGAGCTACTGCAGGAAGATGGGTATGCAGAACATTTTTATTCTTCTGGAATGCTGATGTATTGCTTATTCTTCTTCTTCTTCCTTCTTCTTGATTTTATTTTATTTTATTTTATTTTTTGACATCTTGATTTGCAAAGAGGTAAAAGTCGTATTACTTCATGATCTTTCTGTCTATGGTTAAATCCTCAAAACTCGTTATGGTATGGTTCGAGTCCAAAATCGTGCCATTATGGATATTGATGTCTCAAGAGATTCCCTTGGCTATTTTCATAGTTTATTCAAATCATCTGTAATGTGGAACTTGATAAGGGCTACATCTCCTAGAAATATAGCAATATACCATATGGATTGTGAAGTATACCTTGGGAGTCCTATTAAAGTGCCACCAAACACTATAATTCTATAAACATGTTGGATTGCACATGGTCTGCAATAGGATTAACAGTAAAATTTTCTCCTTTGCTGTTTACTTTCTGCATTTCTTTTGTCCAGCATTAAAGATGTGAAAATCAATCGACAAGGATTTGAGAAACGAATACTCTCTTGATTTGGTGCACTATACTTATAGGCAACTAAGGGAAAGACTCCCTTATATGAAATGCGATGTGAGACAAAGCCACTTGAACAAATGTGTATATATATATGTGTGTGTGTGTACATATGCATATTCTGACGTCCTGTATATTGCTAAAATCAATGCACATCTTATAATCTGACTTGTATTTTTCTTTTTTTTTGGCCAATCAAAGTCGTGAACCTTTTGTAACCGTTGCTAAGTTTTTTCCTTGAATTCCAAAATAAGTGATTGACATGAATGACATCAACGTTATTGATTTTTAGATATGGTGAGGAAATAATATATGAAAAACAAAGGACTTGGGGACTCAAACGGAATGGAAGAGTTTTCCAATCTACATTAATAAGAAGGTAAGCAAACAACCCCTACTCGTGGTAAGCAAAATAGCAAATGGAGTATAGATGTCTTGGACAGATAGGCACAGGTTGTCGAAGCCTGTGCAATAATAAAAACCTGCTCAAACTAAAAGTAATTTCTGTAGATAGTGGTAAGCAGGGTCGAATCCATAGGGACTGGGAGTAATTGTTTCTTTTCAAGTTCACAGTAACAAAGGGGGTGTTTTTGTGCAGAAGGTGACAATAAAAGAAGTTCAAATAAAATCTAAGAAACTACTAAAAATTAAATAACAAATTACTAAAATCAAATGAGTGATAATTAAGGATCTAGCCAAGGAATAACTTCAGCAATGGTTCACCTAATTGATCATCGATACAAAGCCAATTCCAATTATTTACCAATAAATAGGTTATAACTGCCAAACAAGCGATGACAGTCAACCCCTCCTTACTGTGTCGGTGATTAAGGTACGCCCGTTAATCACTGCTCTAATTGAGAAATAATTCTAGGTACGCCCGTAGAATTTAATTTCCCAATTGCCTTACGTATTAGAGGAGCCCTATTCTAACCAAATAACGCACTACCAGGGTTATTTCAGATTAGCCCGCATATCCCCCTGACACGAATCTAATCGTGCCAGTTATCACTATTTTGAGACAATTAAACAATTACGGATTTAACGTCCCAATTGATAATAGATTATCAAATTAACTAATTATCCGGATCCAAGACAATCAATAAACACAGTAATCAGGGAATATGCGAATACCAATAAATAGAAGCAAAAGATAAAATTAAATCGATCTCACAATTTTAGGCGATCCAAAACATCCGTTGTCCCTTGACTAGACAAAGGGAATTAGTTCATTTTTGGTGAACAAATCCCACGCAAAATTGAAGAGGAAGCCGCAGCCATCAATTGGGAAATGCACAAATTCAGTTCGATCAAAGGACTAAAGCAAAGCAGAGTTGCAGAGTATGAGTCAATATCTTCTTAATTGCTCCTGCCATCCGTAGGAGAATTATACTACCAAAGAACCAAGGAAAGTCAACAATTCAAAAAGCTAAGCTAGTGCTCCTCTGCCATGAAGAGAAGCCAAAATAAATCCTTAACAAAAGTCAAAAAGGGAAAATCTGATGCTAAGCTAAAAGCTACCCAAAATTCCTAAGAGAAGAAAAGTCAAAATCCTAAGCTAAAACTAAAGAAACGGAAAAACTAAGAGGACAAGCCAGAACGTCCTTCCTCTGCTATTCTTTTGGTTTTTATCCTCTGCCTCCTCCCCAGATGTGCGGCGGCTCTTAGGAGAAAGAAACCCTTCGTCCGTCATTCCTCTGCAGAAATTACCGAAATGGGCATGACATCTTCTTTTCCAGAAATGCCCCTGGGGCAAGCTCTATCACTTGGGCTCCTTTTCTGCTAAATTGGTACTTATTATCATAATTTCGTCCTACTCCCTGAAATGAATGCAAAATACTAAAAAGTGAGTAGAATATAGCAATTAATCCATATCAGGTCAAGTAATAGGAGAAATTAATAATAAAATAAATGATAAAATTGCAACATATCACTTAAGAAAACAAAATCAATAACAATATCTAAAAGATTAAAATAATGGAGACACAAATTAAAGAGCGTTAGAAGAACAAAAATTCAATCTTCATAAAATTTTCCCAACCATCCTCAAATTAAGGAGAATTCCCAGACATGAAATGTAACTTACTTTTACGTGAATTAACTAAGCAACTCTTCTTCAAGAACCAATTAAACAGAGCTTGTGAAACTAGGAATCTAAGCTTAATTCCTCAAGGCTCATGGTATCTGCTACGTACTTGCTTGAATTCAAAGATGCATCATCATCCCATTCTAAAGCAAAAATAATCTGCATCTTCCCACTCTCAAAACTCACTGATTCATCCAGCAAAGTGTTGCAGTCCAGTGGCGGCTGCTTGATAACTACTTTCTTTAGATCCTTCTGCCATAACTTAGTGCAAGGAGATTTGCAGGACTCCTCATCCCGTCTGTCAGCCAGCATGTTGAGCAAGTACTTGATCATGAAGTTGCCAGTACTTAGATGTGCCTTCGTTTTCGGCAAGACTAAAGTCTTAGGATGACATGCCAATAACAAACCATCAATAAGATTAATACAACTATGTTCATCAATGTTTGGTGACCACTTGGCCACCGTATATAACTGGAGTTCCTCAACTTGAACAGGAACACAAGTACCCGGAATCATCGCAATCAATCTGTCTTCTATGCTCTCTTGGAAGCCATGTTTAGCGTGAGGGAGTTCGATTCCCAGTGATATTCTAGACTGAACCAAATTCAACATCAGCTTATACAACCTCAGAAACCACGAGTAGTCAATGAGATGAGGGCAGCATATAGATATACAAGACCTCATATTGCATGAAGCACTTGCAAAAGATAAATTTGGGATGATTTGATTGCTATATGAGAAAGATGCAAGGCTTGGAGCATCAATATCTAATTCTTTGGGCGTTTCTGAATTTGAAAACCAGTGTATGTGCTTCAGCGAGTGGCTTGTTAGATTTATTCTTTCCAAGCCAGCAAAGCTACCTGATTCTATAACTCTCAGATACTCGAGACGAGGAAATTTAGTCACGAAGTCATCGAACAATTGACCATTTCTGATACATCTGCCACTATATAGTGATAAGCTCTTCAAATTTGGAGATGTGCCCAGTTGAACAAAATTCATCCAATGCAAAGACAACAACTCAACATTCTCAAGACAAGGTGCTTGATCAACTTTGATATTTAAATCATTCCTTACATATATACGAAGTTTTTCGAGGCTGCAAAGATTGATCAACTCGATTTTGTTCAAGCCCCTGCAATCAATGATCACCAAATCATTGATCGAGGGGCAACCCGCAATTAAGCAATGAAACATCTCGTTAGTTATGTAGACTTCTTCAAATTTTAATACCTTGATATTCTTGCACATAATATTCCTTTCACCACATATCTGCATTGGGAATCTGCAATTTTTAACCCGTAACTCTGTTAATGATTCAGCCTTAGGTAACATGTCACCAATAGCCAGAGTGTACGATGAATACAGACCTTGATGCAAAGTGACTTGAAGGACTTTGACACCAAATTGTACAGCAAACCCAAGCCATGTGTTGATCAGGTCACAAGCCACATAATCGTCCTTGATCAAGGTCATGGAAAGATTGAATTCCTCTATATGATGATCTTGGTAATCATGTTTCCGCAACAAAGTATAATTGCTAACATGGGCCCTGAACTTCTCTTCACAACTCAAGCAATTTCCTGGATGCTTAAGTGAGCAATTTCGTTGATCCTCGAAAAATTTACAAACAGGGTTCTTTATTTGGTGGAAGTACCGATCATCAAAATCTAATCTGGGGTTTGTGCGCCATGCCTTCAGCCAAGCCTTGGAATAAAAGGCTTGCTTGGGCTCTCTGTTTTGTGTTGAGAAAAGAGAATATATGGTGGATTATGCCTTCTGGCAAGTACAGCGGCACCTCTTTTTCCATGGTTTTGGCTCTTGAATTGATTCAATTAACTTCGAGGGGATGAGTTGAAAGTAAAGGAAAAAGAAAAGATGTGGAGGTTTTCGTTTACTTTGGAAGTTTGCAAAATTTTTCTTTTAGGAATCCTATAATGGGATGCCCTATAATGCGTCTATTCCGTTTCCTATTAGGACTCCAAGTATAGTATTGCAAGAAAACTCAAGTGTTTCAAACTCTTTAGCCACCTAAACTTTAGCATGTTTATCACTTTAGTGCCTACTTATAGCTTTTTATCATGTATTTATTTATATCTTTGGGTTCAGTGGAAAGCTCCAATTGTACAAGGAGAAGGGAAAATAGGAGGTTTCATAGTGGAACTTTTTATGACTTAACCTCCTCGACAAAAGGTCTAAGTTGACAGGATATGTAATTTTTGAGTAGAAAATCAAATATGTTATTTGACTATCAAAAGGGTTTTTAACACTTTATACCCTTGACTTTTAGTATTTCTATCACTTCAGTCTCTTAAAATATTTTTATCAATTAAATTTGAGAAAGTTGAAAAAATATTAGATCAAAATAGAAAATTTCATTAGAAGAACATAGAACAAAAATACTCTATTCAATATCTCTAATCTATTTGATTCTAGGGTTTTTAATTTTAATGATGGTAATTTATGTCACTTCAAAATTCATTTGCTGAGTCGTTGAGTTGCAAAATGACTAGGGGTGGCAATCAATCGAGCATTTTCAAACCCTACTTGCAGTGAAAAAAAATTCAAAGGAGTGCCAGAGCACCCCTTTGGTGTAATTAGGTTTGTATACCTGCTAGTTCTTTATACAATCTCTTTAGATTCCCCATCCCTATAAAATATAATAGATTAAGTTATAAGAATGTAATCATTCTAACAAAAAAGAAAAAAAAGTAGCTAGTCAAATGCTTATTTGAGATCGAGTTTGACTGAATTGAACTTGAACTTGAGCTATTCTAACCCCTTTTGTGGTCAAGGTCAAACCTTAAGGCATGCAGTTTAAAAGCTTTGTCAAGCTTTTCTTTCTTATATAATAATAATAATAATAATAATGACATTAACAAAGTCTCCATTAGTAGTAAGGCCAATTATTATCGAGGAATTCTCAATTTGAGCTCACTTTGTTTTCTCAAGGGAGCTCTAGCACGAGCTCAACCTCCTTAAATTTTATTCAAGTCGAGCTCAAGTGCCTAAATGTTGCATTCGTCTAACTTGAGTTTATGAGTATTCAAAATCTACTCAACCCATTGCCACCTCTCAAAATAAATATCCACCTAAGTGAGTGACACAAATTGACATGGGTTTATTCATTTTTAGCTATAGGTGGAAAATAACAAGATCTGCAATCTCACAAGTTGAGTTATCGTCCAGTTCAATCAGATTGTATAATTTTTATAATATTTTGTGTAAACCGAAACAACTTTGATATAAAACTTAAGTTTGTAACTTATACAACTAAATTCGTGCAAAAGCATGATTACACCAAAATTGTACGAGTTTATACCCAATGTTATTAGATTTAAACAATTAATTTGAACTAGAACTTGTAATGCCTCAAATCTGGAAATAACCATATGAAAAACAAGTATTCCAGGACTCAAAAGGGGGAGAGTTTTCCACTGTACATTAATGAGCACGGACAGCGAATTCATTGGTATATTACCTTCTTCGTGGTAAGAAATAAATGGACGCAGGAGTATAGATTGGATGACGAGTTTTTCGCCAAAATAACTCTCTTTCTAAAAAATATTCCCAGCGTGATTTATTTTCAAATTTTATTCCTATAATGATGTTATTATTGCCATCTAGTTATCCTAATTGTCAAGTAGCATAACAAGAAAGGAAAGCTTCAATCTAGTAGTAAATATATAAATTCTATAGTTTCCAACATGAACTGAAAATTAAAAGTTTTTTTTATTATAGAGGCACAAGAAGATTGCATAGCTTTGATAATTTCTTTATAATTATTTAAAATAAATTCCACCACTATCAACCTTGCTATATTTGGTCTTTGCATATTTCTTTTTTTGAAATGTATCAAACCTATTGTGCATATTTGTTTCAAAACAAATTTTGGAAAATGCAAAAATTGCATTGATAATTGTGTGTAATAGAAGAAAAAGTTATAAAAAAAATTCAAGACTATTGTAATTGCTTCTGTTATCCTCCCAACTTCCGGAACAGAACTCTTACAAAAAGTAATCAAGGTACAAAATTCAGCTAGACTGTCTGCATAAAAAAAATTCATTAATTAAGTAAATGTTGTCATCCTAGTCCTAATAGTATAAAAGAGCAAATGGTCTTAGGAACAGTGATTTTGGTCCCTCATTGGCACCTTAAGTGTGTGGGTAGTTTTGTAATTTTGGGACATGGGTGGTGTGGTTATTGTGTGCTGCTTTGAGGAATTTATGGCTGGCATTTGTTGTTGGGTTGGCTTTTGATGGTGGCGCCATTATATACCGATCCTGCCCTTGGTTCACCTATTTGAGAATAGTGAATTTGGTTCCCTATTGGCACCTTCCGTATCTGGACAATTGGCACCTTCTGTGTGTGGCCATCTGTGGAATTGCACAGAAACATTTGGTCATCCTAGGCTGGTGTTGGATAGGATAATTAAAAAATATGCATATATTAATCATGCGGTGCGATGGTGCTCTGTTGTTAGAGCAGTTCTGCCGTTCCTGATCTTAATATTACTTTTGTCAATGCAGTATCTTTTGCAGTGTAAATACGCTTTATTCATGAGTTCCAGCGGAAATAACAAACTGACCCCATTGCAAAAATAATGCCTGGGCAACCTCGCGCGAAGCGCGAGGCGCACATCAACTAGTATTATCTAATGCAATAACTACCTGAATTTTTACAAACAGTAGTCAAGCTACAAAATTCAGCTAGGCCGCTTGCACAATTTTTTTTTAAAAAATCATTAATTAACTAAATATTGTCATGCTATCTAATACAAGAACTAACAGCATTTGTCCGTAATTAGTAAGGCCATCTTTTACATGTTATTTATAATACTACCAGAGAAAAGAACTACTAGTAGTTTAAAGCAAAATGGGGACCGGTAAACTTCATGTAATGCAAATGAAATCTACTAAAATAATTAAAATAATTCTAAAGTTGCTAAAAATTATTTGATCATTTGACAGAGAAGCGTTACAAATGAACATGCTCATATATGTGGTGGAAATCAAACATGATGGGTATGAATCTATCGTTTCTTGTAGTTTTCCTCCAAGACATTTTATCAAACACACGGTGTGTGAAATTATTATTAAACTATCACTATTCAAATTTTTTTGAAGGCCATAGGAATGTTGCAAAAACTGCACAATAAAAAAGACGAGAGAATAATCTTTGTTTACCTTGAAATTGTCTATTCAAGAAGAAGATTTTCATCCACTAAAACAATTTCAATGATGATACTAAAGTTTTAAATTTTGTTAATATAAATATTGGCTCCTCCGAATTCATACCCTTGACAAGGGAAAAGATATGGGAAGGAAAAAATGCAAGAAGGTTCAAGGAGAGAATTGTTGAAAGATATCAAGTGGGAAAGAGAAGTAGAGTGTGCTTCTATCTCTTTGGGTATATGTTTAGGAAAGAGAGTTATTTTGGCAAAAAACTCTTAGATGACTAGTACAGATAGGCTTAAAACAAAAATTGATGATGACATCTAAAAGATTTAATCTTCATAAATTTCCGTCCATCCCCAAATGGTAAGAACAGTAAATGAAGTAATAAGTTTTACTTGAAATAGTAGTGAATTTTGTGGAAAACAATGATAACTTGTGCTTTAAAGTTGGTAAAGTTTATCGATAATGTAGTAAGGTTTACTTACCAAAAAAAAAAAAAAGTAAGTTTACCAATAGCCATCTAGAAAAGTACTATTTGGTAAATTTTACTAGAACTTTATTTGGTTTAAAAGGTACTAAAAGTCCTTGAAGAGGTTGTAACTTTCACAAAAAAGATGGTAAAATTTACTCAAGACCTAGTTATATTTTCCGTAAAAAAAGGGGCATTCTATAGTTAAACACCCCTTTATTCTATAGTTTTATGCCAATCTTTTATTAATTTAACTTTACTATTTTAACAATTATTTATGAAATAATTTCGAAAAAAGGAAATCAATAAGAAAAGGCTATTCAAATAATTATTTTTTTGCCCTTAATACCCTTCCCTACACCGTCAGTGTAAACCTATTTTACACTGACGCCTCACCATATTGCGCCACCTCATTAATGAAAATTGGCAACCTGTTATAACCTGTAACTATTACCTATTATCAAATAAAAATAGGTTATTCACCTCTTTTTCTGTCTCTTCCTTCTCTTTCTATTGTATTCTGGATTTGCAACCAAATTCCTCCACTGATCAACTCAAAATTGGGATGACAGGTTAGACTTCTTTAATCTCTCTCTTTCTCTCTCTCTCTCTCTCTTTTATATGTATGATGTCTTTTATAAACCCACTTTACCTTAATTTTTACAAAGTGTAAACCCTAATTCAATATTTTTTCAAGAATCGATTTTGTAGTATAAAAGAAAGATGAAATAAATATGTCAAAAAATAAGAAAAATTAACTAAGTTCCTCTTTATATTGCAAAATTATAGTGTAGGTCAATTCCAGCCATGTTAGTGGAAATTCTTATTAAATCTGTTTTGAATATTTCAAGAGTGGTAGTTTTTATTGTCATGTTTATTGACAATTGTGTGAAACTTGTGTCTCTAGTTTGGTATTGTGGTTGCATCTTTCGGAAAAACAATCGGTACTGAATGTCCTATGGAACGTGAACTTGGTACTGAATGTCCTATGGAACAAGATCAAGTTGACCATGACGCTGCACATGGATCTATGCCTGAAGATTCTACTAATGAACAGATTGAACCTAGGAAAGAGGTGAACTTATATGTTGGAATGGAATTTGAATCATTGGGTGATGCCTTTAAGTGTTACTCTAACTATGCACACAATAAAGGTTTTAGTGTGCGAAGAAATCGTATCACGAAATCAAGGAGCAATAAATCGATAATTGGACAAGAATTTGTTTGTTCCAAAGAAGGATTTCGCTCCAAAAAAATTCTGAAGCTGATATGCCACGGGATAAAACAAGACAAGGATGCAAAGCATTGGTGTATGTATCCCAAAAGGAAGAGGATAAGTGGATTATTGCTAGACTTGTTTTAGAGCATAACCATGTACTTGCCTCTCCTTATAGCAAAAAATTTTTACGTTTAAAAAGGAAAAAAAGTGAGGCCCAAAAGAATTTGATTGATATGCTAGACCAATCTGGTGTTCGACCAAGCAAGATTGTCTCTGTTTTAGCAACTCAAGTTGGGGGAATTGGAAATTTGAATTTCACTGATCACGATGTTTGTAACTATTTGAGTACAAAGAGACACAAGGAACTAGAAAAAGGAGATGCACAGTTAATGCTGCAATATTTTCAGAAGCGACAATTTGAGAATCCTGGTTTCTTTTATGCAATTCAAGTGGATATAGAGGGTCGCCTTGCTAATTGTTTTTGGACTGATGCTAAGTCAAGGTCATTATATAAACACTTTGGTGATGTGGTTACATTTGACCCTACATACCTGACAAATAAGTATAAGATGCCTTTTGTTCCACTAACTAGAGTTAATCATCATTACCAGTCAATTTTGTTTGGAGGTGCTCTGGTTTGGGATGAAACCGAAGAATCATTTGTTTGGTTGTTGCAAACTTGGTTAGAAGCAATGTTCGGGTGCCCTCCTAAAACTGTCATTACAGACCAAGACACTGCGATAACAAATGCTGTTGCTAGAGTTTTACCTCATAGTACACATCATTTTTGTATGTGGCATATTGAGAAAAAATTTCCAGAGACACTTAGCCATATTTATCACCAAAACAATGATTTCAAGTATCATTTCTCAAAATGCATTCATGACACTATCACTCCAGAAGAGTTTGAAATGGCTTGGACTGAGTTAATTGAGAAGTACAAGTTGCAAAATAACACATGGATACAAAAGGTATATTCAATTCGTGAAAGATGGGTTCCAGCTTTTGTGCGTGCTAGTTTTTGCGTAGGTATGTACCTTATTCTTTCTTGGTTAAAAAAATAAAATTTGACATAGACTTTAAATCTTAGGATAGTGATAATTAAATTTTTTTGATTATATAATTATTTACTTTTGTGTAATTGCTACTGTTTTGTCCAGGTATGTCAACTACCTAAAGAAGTGAAAGTATGAATAAGTTTTTCAAAGACTATCTGAATTCTAGCACAGCTATGAGTAAATTTGTGACTCAATATGATAGGGCTATTAAGGCAAGGTAGGATAAAGAAAAAGAAAAAAATTTTAAGACAAAGAATATGAAACCAATTTTGAAAACTCTGTAGCCTATGGAAGTTGAAGCAGCCAAAGTGTATACACGAAAAATCTTCAGAATGTTTCAAGATGAATTACTGGAATCCCAGAAATATGTTTCTGAGAAAATAACTATGAAAGATAGAGTTTACAAATATAGGGTACATGAGCGTCAAAAGGAATTTTCCTCATATATTGTAATTCTAAGTATTATTGAACAAAAAGTTGAGTTCTCTTGTCACAAGTTTGAATTTGTGGGGATTCTTTGTAAACATGCGCTGATGGTGTTTATAAAGAAACAAATTCATTCACTTCCAGTGCATTATTTGTTGGATCGTTGGACAATGAGTGCTATTTGTGGACGAGATGAGGGGGATTTTTCTGAAAAACTTCACCAAGCTGAGCCGCTAACAAATTCAAGCATGTGGTTTAATGATATAATGGTTCGTTCACTTGGCATTTCAGAGAAAGCTTCAAGATCTGCAAAACACCACAGGTTTGTATAGTACCTCTACTTTTTTTTTTTTTTTTAAATGACATTGAAATTTTTAACCTGATTTGACACCATACTCAATATTGCAGAGTTGCACTTCAAGGGTTGCAAGCATTATCTGACAAACTTGATGATTTGCCCTACGAAAATGAGCAAGACAGTAGTTTATCTATTTCTCAAGTTGACTCACATTCTGAAATTCATGATCTCACTCAAGGTCAAACATCTCAAAAGAGTATAACTCTATTCAACCCTGTGACAGTTGCATCAAAAGGCCGTCCTCGCACCTTAAGGATGAAGGGTGGTTTAGAAAAGTCTCGTAAAAGCAATAAATGCTCTTGTTGCAAAGAGAAAGGGTGACAGGCGTCAAACCTGTGCAATAATAAATACCTGCTTAAATAAAATACAAATTCTGTATATAGCGGTAAGCAGGGTCGAATCCACAGGGACTGGGGATAATTTAATTTCTTTTCAAGTTCCAGATATGGGGGGTTTTTGAAAATGATAGTAACTAAATTACTTGGAATAAATTAAAATAAAATAAAATAACTACAACTCAAATAACTAATTATCACAATAAAAATAATAATGGACGAACTCTAGCCAAGAGACAACTTCGGAGATGGTTCACTTAATTTGATCACAGATGCAAGGATTATTCCAGTTACTATCTGATAAATTAGTTATAATTGTCATACACGCGATAAACAACCAACTCTTCCTCAATTTGTCGATAGCCAAGGTACGACCGTTGACTATTTCTCTAATCAGGAAATAACCCTAGGTACGACCATAGAAGTTCAATTCCCTAATTGCATGAATAATTAGAAGAGCCTAATTCTAACCAATCAACACGCTACGAGGGTCTCTTTAAGTTAGCCTGTCTATCTCCCTGACACAAACCCAATCATGCCAGTTGCCACCAGTTTAGAATAATTAAACAATTACGGATTTAACTACCCTAATTGGCTTCAGGTTATTGAATTAATCTAGAATCCGGGCCCTGGATAATCGAATAATAAAACAACCATATGAACATAAAGCAGAAGATAGACAAATACCAGTGAATAATGAAAATAAATAAAAACTAATTCGATCTCACAAATTTAGTAGAACCAAATCCTTCGTTGTTCTTGGCCAGACAAACTTAGCCACGCCTCATGAGAAAATCTTCAAGTAATTTCATTGAGGTCCAGGCCATCAAAAGAGCCATGAAAGAAACGAAACTAAAACTATGCTAAAAACTGTCTAAACTAAAACTATTGATTCATCCGATCACCCCCTCCTGTACGTTTGTCTCCCTCTTTAAAGCCAAAAGGAAGTCTAATGCTATCTCTAGTGGTCCCCACACCAAATTCAAAGTCTTGTACGTTTCTTTTCCTAGAGTCCAGATGACTCATGCTTCTTATCCGTGGTCCCCGCACATGTGGACAAAGCCTCCCAAGTACTTGTTGTTCCAAGTCTCTCTACGTTGCTTTCTTTGAAAAGCCCAAATGACTAAATGTCTTGCACTAGCTTGTGGTCCCCACCAACTCAAGGACCTAAAGGTTGAAGCCCTTAGAAGTCTGCATTTTTCCATACAAGTCCCTCCTTTTTGGTAATTTTCTGCTTCACTCCTGAAATTGATTCCAAATACCAAATATGAGTAAATATCAGCAATTAACACAATATTTGTCAGGGATAGAAGGGGAAATCAATAATAAATTTACTAACAAATTATACCCTATCAATTCCCCCCACACCTAAATCATGCTTGCCCTCAAGCATAAGAACAGCAATTGAACACCAAAATTTGATAATGGCTATTGCTCTAACTATCATATTGCCAAGATACCCAGAAAAACATATATCAAGCATCACAGTTAAGATCCAAGAAAAATCACTCCGGTTAGCTTCCCAACCACCAATTTTTCAAATTTAAAGCAAACTAATCTAAGAAAAAGGAATGGTTGCTCACATTTATCAGCAAATGGTCCAACTATTAACCAAAATCTCGACATTAAAATCACAAACTGGCAAGCTGACTTATTCACATACTAACCCAATCTTTATTTTATTTTTTCCTTTTTTTTTCCTTTTTTTTTTTGAATAACAAAAGACTTAGTCTATAGCCCTTAGAGTCTTTTGACGCGAACTCCAACATTTGATAGATGGAGGAGCCCGGTTACTCAGCTCTAATTGCTACGGGACCACGCACTCATAGTAACTACTACCTTTTGACGCGAGAATCGACACTTTAGGTGAAGATCCCCGGTTACTCAGTAGTAACAACTAGTGGAGTACAGTCACCTCTTATTTACGATAACATACCACAATAACTAGAAAATATCACAAAGATAACAGCAGCCAGCCTCAAATTTCCAAACATGGAGAACTAAAATTAATAATTGGACCAATTCACATGAAAAATGCCCGCAATCATTCCCTATGCCTAGAGAAGTTAACCAAAAATTGGAAAAGTTAAGCAATCATTGACATACACCAAAGAGATGTTCCTGAACTCAACCACATCAATTTAATACCCTTTTATTACTAAAATTTGGCAATAGCAGAATTAGAGACAACAATCCAGTATCAAACTTGGTATTCATATGAAGACTGACCACTAGAAAAAGAAAAGAAAAGAAAACAAACGAAAAAGGAGATAAATATCAAACTAAAACAAAGGAAAAACCTCTAGAAACTAAAAACAAAAAATACTAGCACCCCAACTGATCCCCCCACACCTAATTCACAAATTGCCCTCAATGTGATAAATAAACAATAATAGTAGCAAAAGAGCAACGGTACTTCCCTGAAATCACGGGGACCATGGCGGGGTCACAGCAGTGAGTGAGGCAGGGAATGGTTGAGTTGGGTTGGAGTAAGCTAAGGTCAAGAGATTCTGGACCTAGAAGAGAACCATGATCTCACTATTGCCGCTAACAAGTAACCCAATCAATAGAAACAAAATTGCCAACATATAGAGGAACAAGTAAATGCAGATCAGTAGAAATCCATATCCTCTAATGAAGTCAAAAAATCAACCCAATAAGCACAGGTATCTCCCAATTCAAAAGGGTAGTGCATAATAAATGGCTCACCAAATTAGCAATTTAAAGCCCTGAGCAATTTAAACCCAACAAGTCAATCAGTACCAGAAAACCACTCCAAACAATGTAACAGTTAAACTCCACAGGCAAAGGACGTCCAACCAATTTCACTCAAGCAAACTAGGAGCAATGCGACTGATTAAACAAAGCAACGAATTTCAGCAAATGGACTCATAGCCACCCAAAATCCCAACAAATGCCCTAAAGATTTAGCAATTGAAATCAATAGGTAAAATACTCCAGCAAGTCAATTAGACGCCACCAACAGCAATAAGCAATGGAAGTGGCACAGTAGCCTTCCAATTCAACAAACAAATGAAGAAAATACCCAACCAAAGGCACTTCAAGGGACGCAAGACAGAAATCAGCAAAGTAGAACTCAAGTGATACCAAAAATAACCTCGACAAAGCAGTGAATTCAACCAATTTGAATACGTAGAATACGGTCAGAAATGCCTCCCAAAGATCAACAGAGAGCGACAAAAATTGCCCACCCCAAAATCTATCCAAATGGTTCCAATTGGATAAGAAATTACACAACTCAACCAACCGAAATTAGCAAATGAGCCAAGAAACCGTCAAAACCAGCAATAGTAGTTCAAATTTTGGACTACAACTAAATCAAAATGTTTGGCAGTTTTCGATCAAGTAGCCCACCAACTAGAACCAAGTGGCAACAAATGTAGTTATAATACCCCAACCAGTACCACTGGTGCATCCCACAGATAATGAAGCAACATAAACGGCCACCCCAATCAAGAAAATGGAAACTTCAGGCACCTAAGGACTAGGCGAAAGTCTCAACAAAGCAGCTATTACAAACAATAAGCAGTGGTGGTCCGAATATTAGTCAATGCAGAAATCATGCAACTCAAAATCTCGGCAAGTGCTCCAATGAGCTTAGCAATTGAAATCACAAAACCGAATACTCCCCAAACAAGGTACTTAGAGTCAACCAATGGCAATACTAATTCAACAAATCAACCCAGAAAATTACTCAACTAAGGGTGCAATAGGGGTCTCCGAACACAGCTCCAAACACCAACAATTGAACATATAGAAACTAAACAGCCCAAAAATCAATTAAGTAGATAAACACATAAAAACTTCACTCAAAAACTAACTAAACATGGAAAAAATGAAATTTTTCCCAAATTACTTCAGATTCCACCCCAAAATTGGACAAATAGTCGTCAACCAACCACAGATGATATCACAGCACTCAAATCAACCACAAAAATGTCTGGCCTCAGCTAACAATTTAAAAATCTGTCCTCAGCTA